GGAAGGAGGCGCGGGGTGGTGGGGGGGCTGTTCTGCACTGTGTCTGTGTTAGGCCCACAGGAGACAGGGCTGCAGCAGGTGTAGACGTCCCCGAGCAAGCGCGGCGCTAGCGCCGGTAACAACAGCAGCATGGCCAGCAACCTGTGCCCGCCTGGGACCCTGGGTGTGTACTCAAGCGGCTCACCGATGCTCAGGTGTGTGGAGAAGACGTTTGGGCCTGGTATCTCATGTTTCCTGCGGCCGCTCCAATTTCAGCCCCATTTCACTCCTTAGTGTTGATGTTTTGAGGGCTTCCCTAAGATTGGGCCCCCCTTTCACCCTTCTCATCTGTCCTGCTGCCACTGGTATTATTATTGGCGCTAGCTAGAGCAAAGCAGGATGGAGTATGTCTACACAGGCTGCAGACATATCTCTGACGGCCGCGTAGACACACGCCGAGCGTGGGAGGCCATTTACAAAGGTATCAGGAATTAGGGAAGTCTGGCGTGATGAAGGCACTGGATTAGGATTCAGCAAAACTGACTTTAGTACCCAGATTCTTCCCCAGGCTTTGTCCACACTAGAAAGTTTAACCCTCCCTAGCGTGGCTGAAATTGGATCAGGATAAAGGGACTACCAGCATCGCTATTCCCATCGGGAAAGGGACACTGCTATTTTGCTATAAGTCACCTTAACAAGTTCATCCACCTGAGGAATTTTGCCAGTATAATGAATTTGATACAAATCAGGCCGCCAATCAACCTAGCTTTACTGGTAAATACATACAGATTAGACCTTCATTCCTCAGTTCTCCATCTGTAACCTGTGGACAATGGCACTTCCTTGGGATTTCCTTTCCCTGCACAGAATGAGCATTCTTACAACGCGTGCCTACAAACCCTGATTTTAGTTTGGTGTTTCTGACTCCTAACATATTGAGAAAAGAGCTCTGGGTAAGCACGGAAGCTCTGTTGCCCGCAGAAGCTGGTTCAAAAAGTTTCCGAGGGGGGCCATGTTAGTCTGTCACTTGAAAAACAATGGGTGGTCCTGTGGCACCTTCCAGATTAACCAAAATATCTAGATGGTGAGCTTTCGTGGGCACAACCCACTTCTTCAGAAAAGCTTGAGCAGAGAAACCCGCCTGGTCTCCTCCAATCAATAATGCTTACAGTCGTTACTTTCCGTAAACTGCTGTGATGCACTCTGGGAATTTTACACAATTCACTGCGGCAGGATCCAAAGCCTTCCTAAATTCCACAGCAGGGTAAAAGCGGTAACCCCTGACACCTTCTGATCGCAAGTGACAGTCGAGCTTGGCCTGAGGTGAACTCATGAGCTCAACCATCTAGACAGACTTTCGAATGGGCTCCCTGAAATGTATCCTACCGGCTGCCTTGCTCTGCTGACATGAGGTCAACTGGTGTTGCCCTGGCGTTCAGACAAGCTAATTTCCCTGGGAGGAGTGCCGGTCCTTTGGGGAGCCTGTAGCAGTGTCTCTAATTGCACACGGAAGGGATTACAGCGAGGTCTGTGCTGCTGCTATCCCGGAGGCTTTGTCGGACACTCCCAAACCGCGTTGTGCAGGGACTCCGGGGCACTATCTCCGGGGAGGTCACATGCAAAGCAGGCTTGCCTCTCAGTTTGCCTTGGACCTGGCCCCGTTCATGCTGAAATCGCAGGGCGCAGGACTGGGCCCTGAAAGCCAGGCCACCAATGTAAGTCAGGATAAAACAAAAGAGGCTTCTGCCACGTTGGACAAAGCCCTATCCAGGTCCAATTCACATCAATGGAAAGACTTCCAATGGGAGTTCAGTCAGAATCTATTTAACCAGGTAGCCCCCACGTATGTATGTGTGTATGTATTTATGTATGTATGTATATGTGTGTGTGGGTATCTATCTATCTACCTATCTATCCATCCATGCATGCATGTGTGTGTATCTATCTATCTACACCAAATCTATTTATCTATGCCTATACACCAAATCAATCTATCTATCCCCATACACCTCATCCATCCATCCATCCATCTCAATACACCACATCTATCTATCTATCCATCCCTATACACCCCATCTATCTATCTATCCCCATAAACGCCCTCTCTCTCTCTCTCTCTCTCTCTCTCTCTCTATCCCCATACATCCCATCTATCTATCTATCTATCCATCCATCCATCCATCCATCCATCCATCCCCTTATACCATGTCTATCTATCTATGGTTGGAATGGAAGCCAGAGATCCAGTGTTAGCGTTAGAAACAGCTTCTGCAAAACGGCCCAAACCCCCAGGTGGAGACCAGATGATCCAGGGTCCTGGCAATGCCAGCTCTCTGGGTCTCCTGTTCATGTCCAGCCCTGGCTTGGCGGGGAGTGAAAGTTGTCACTATTTGAGGAGTCTTTGGTAGCCCGTGAGAAGGAAGGGTGGGACCTAGTGTTCTACTCAATGGCCACTGCTGTTGGCCAACTCATTGGAAAGGTCCTGGGCTGAGCGAGTGCAGAGAGTGAAATTCCTCCTCTGCTCTAACAGGGACCTCCCTGGGTCAGGGCAGAAGTGCACAGGTGGGATGTAGGTGGAGAAAGCCTTCATGCTCTGTGCCGTATTTGTCCTCCGGCAAATCAAAGGCTCTCGTTCTCCAGGGCTTTCTGCAGGGCCATTGATACCAGCCCAGAAGAAAAGGCTGTGATAAATTATACCAACTACAAGACGGGTTTCCATGAATATTTGCTGCTTATAGTCCATGTGCCCAATCACCAGGTCTTGCCTTACAGCTCAGCACTCACCTTTATCTAGCACGGGCCCAAATATGGCCAGGCTGTCGTTGACCGTGGTGCTCCAGGGCTTTCTGCAGGGCCATTGATACCAGCCCAGAAGAAAAGGCTGTGATAAATTATACCAACTACAAGACGGGTTTCCATGAATATTTGCTGCTTATAGTCCATGTGCCCAATCACCAGGTCTTGCCTTACAGCTCAGCACTCACCTTTATCTAGCACGGGCCCAAATATGGCCAGGCTGTCGTTGACCGTGGTGCAAT